ATAGAAGGTAGCGGCCGTGGTATAATGTAAAGTAATATCCTGTTGGTTCCCTTAGGGGACTGTGAAATACTACGAAAAATCTCAGTCAGAACAACCGGGCTCCGAGCCGACATTCGAACCTCGGATCTCCCGATACGAAACATGAATGTAAACCATTCGTCTGCTTCTTTTCTTATTCGGAAGTGCAGTTTTCTACGTGATTCGCGTTTTGCAGGGAACAAGGTGTTGACCGTGTTCGCGCCAACGGACCGCGCCTTCTCTGTGGTCGACTCTGACGACCTGGACCAGCTGTTGACAGTGAAGGACATGTCCCGAGCGCTAGTACTACGGCACACAATACCAGGAACGCTCTACACCGCTGGAATGAGGTTCTACCAACTACGAGACTCCATGGAGAAGGGATCCACCATCGCGCTTTACAAAACCAACGGTAAGACAAGGAAAGTCACAAACGGTCTGAGATGTGATTGCAGAGCTTCGATGCGACAAAGAAATGCTTCTGGGTTTATAATAGCCTCTGTGCATAAGCATCGGGTCACTTTGCTAATCAAGAAATTCCTCGTCTTTTATGTATCCCGAAAGTTTATTGCCCTATCTGCAAAAGACCACCATTGGCATTGTCTTGTGTTAGAATAATCCTCATTACCTGTTTCTTTAACCTCCCCTTTAATAATATTCTTGGTCTCAGAAGTGGTCTTAGGTCCAGATATTCTTATCCGCACTTTGTTCTCAAACATTTTCAATCGATATTCTTCCACAGTGTGAGAGACCAAGTTTTACACCCACACAAATCAACATTTGAAGCCGTGTCAGTTAGGAATTATAAAATTATTATCCATTGCTATACTTTTATTAAATTAAAGGTGTGACGTTTAAAATTTGTAGGGATTATTGTACTCTCAGTAGAAATCTTCGAATGTTGGTGTCTTCTTCAGCAAAACTCAGTGTGCGTATTAATTGATCTTGCCTCAGGTTAAATGGATCAGAACGCTTGGTACACAAGTGGATTTTCGGGGCTAGAGAGAAAGGAACAGTAATGTTGTCCCTAATAAACATGGCAACTTTCAATTTGAGTACGAAATCGTTGGTGAATAACTAAACGCAAAACTGAATTGGGGGTATTAGGTTTAGCTTAGTTACGCTAACAGTAATTAATATGAAGATGTTGTGAAATACATGGGGCGATCTTCAATCTCGTGTGTGCTTAAAACGTTAAAATGAAAGGCGAAAGTTGTGCCTATATGAGGTCGACCTTTCACCGTGTCTCTAGACGGAGAAGAGTGGGGTAAAAAGAATATTCCTTTCATTTCCGACCCATTATAGTTTCATGCGTCTGACAGTAGATGTCGCTTAGTTCTTCTTCAAGGAAGATGGACACTGTAATGGAATCTAGAAAGTAAAACATTTGAATAATGAAATTATTATAGGTTTTATGAAAAATGTAGAAAGCACAACTATTATATGAGTGACGAAGGACAAGGATAGCAGAATTTCTTTTTATTTTGTAACACAATACATACAAATCTGACGCTTGCCGTCTGAAGTCAGACACATCATATTAACACTTCAGAGTAGTTTATGGAGTAAAATAATTGTGTGTTGTTACGTTTATGCACTGACTCATCTCAAATTACACAAAACCTGAGTTAAAATTGCAGTGTTAAATTGCACAAACATATTTTTTGAGGTTCGTATTTAGAATCGGTACACAATGTGGTCTATTCAATTCAAATTTTTTAACTAAAAATAAATATACAAAGTACGAAGACCTTAATAAAATAGACCATTTGAGAGACTTATTGAAATTGATCTCAGAGACATAGAATGTGAGGATGTGGACTGGATTCAGCTGGCTTAGGATAAGACCCAGTGGCGGGCTCTTGTAAACAAGGTAATGAATCTTTAGACTTCATAAAAATCGAGGAATTTCTTCATCAGTGGCGCGAATGCTAGCTTCTGATGGATTACTGTACTTCAAAGAATGGCTTAGCTTGATTTTCACATTTTAAATTCAATATCGGCGAAACCTAAATCGGGACTGCATCTAGCAGTCTTCTGCAAATTCGGACACTTTTATGAGTGGTCATTTTATAGCAGAAGATGAGGAAGAGTGTAAGTATCCATGTCCGTCCTGACTAATCGTGCTTCTTCTCGTGTGCCTCCGTAAATATGGACGGCTACACCAGCCCGATCCAGAGCAGCGTGATCAGCCGGTGGCATTGGCCTCGAGGCTTTCTCTTCAATGTCGGTACAGTAGCTGTCTGTGCACAACGGCAACAGTAACCCTGAGACTACAGCACGAGTAATCTGGACGCGTCTTTGTAGTGAACGTGAAAGGACAGAGCACGATAAATAGGTTTCTGTTCAATTTCGTAATTCCACTCCCAAATTCTAAGACCACCCGTTGTCGACCATCCACTTGATACTGTTCGTTAAACACACTTACAGACTATGAGTGAGACAAGGCAAGAGTTACTCATCGCCCTGATAATGAAGGCATCAAGCGTCTCTGAAACGTCGGTAAACATTTACCAGCCCACACGGCGCCATGTCCTAGTAGACAATCACCTTTACGCTCGCCTCCGTGAGAACCTGAAATCTCGTCTGTTTTGTCTGAACACATTAGTGGTTTAGGTTCCGACAAGGCCTGTGGCCTACTGCGTTTTGGTTGAATACACATTCATCTGCCGTCTGTCTACGGTTTAAATTTGAACAAAAGACGTACGTAAGAAATGTAATGTGGACTATTTTATCAATTGTCAGTTTTTTAGGTGCGGTAAACTTACAGGTTTCGTAATGTAAGTAGGCGTGATGCTAAACGATGTGGAAATTTTCTGAATGCGACAGACGTCGGACTCACTGTTTAAGCACAGCGAGTCATACGTAAAACTGCTGAAACGTAAATTAATCCATTGTGTTTCGTAAATTAAAATTTGGTTCCGCTTTCTTTCACAAAACGGTGAGAAAGATTTATAAACAAAAACTATTCTACCGCCATTCAGATTTAATTCTTGATTGAGTGTAACGCATTTGGGCCTGGTGGAGTTGCAGGTCCACTTACCCGCACGTCTTCGTGGAATGGTGCTTAATGAAACCTTTCTTGAAGATATGACAAAGAAGTAATATTTCCGTATACACAACGAATTATATAATATATTACTTATATATTACTTTAGCCACAACATATTTCCGTTTATCTTAAGATCATTATCAGATGACATACAGTCAAGATAATAAATTAAAATTTGAACTGCATTACATTATTTAAATTGGATATTTGTTAAAGTTTTAATATTTTAAAGTTGACGTGTTAACACTTTAACAAACCTTCTATTCAAACAATGCGATACAGTTAAATTTTTAACGCTTACCTTTTTATCGTAATAGTCTGCCACCTGACAGACAAGCACCGATTCCCGTCAACAATATGGCAGTCAATCTCTGGTTAATCCAGAAAAAAAAATCCTTTTACCGCCACTGCGTATTAATATTGGTGTAATAAATAAATTTATTAAGGCCATAGATCAAAACGGCAGTGGGTTTCTGTAATTGAAACCGACATTTCGGAAAATGAACGAGATCTAAACTAGAGAAGAGATATTTGTAGTCCCGCAAATTAGAGAAATCAAGATTAATATGTTCTGATGCATTTCTGTTTTGTACTATGTGTTCTACCTGCCCTGACAATCTCATTTCCTTTGATTTGATCACTCTAATTTTATTTAATGAAGAATACAAATTATGCTTGTAATCATGCAATTTTCTCCAGCCTCCTTTTACTTTTTCCTTCTTAGGTTCAAATTCCCTCGTCACTCTGCTCTCAAACTCTGTAAACCATGATTTTTGTTGGAACGGGATATAATGTTATCTGCTCCTTCCAACTCGTTTGTGTTTGATCTGTGCAGGTCACGTAAAGGCGAACTCGGCGAGCGTTGTGACTCAGAATATTCCTGCGACAAATGGAGTGATTCATGCCATAGACGGACTTCTGTAATGAAAACATTTAGTTCTACAACTCACAAAGTTATGTGCTCCACCCATACTACTTACTTTTCGATACAAATTTTATTAAAATCTAAGAAGTGGTAACTTACATTGGAAAGAATCAGCTATGGACTTCCACAGTATCTGTGGAATGTGCAGATGGACAGTTCCTTGATGGTCATAGAATGTGCATGGCATTCTAAGGTGTGTATATTTATCTAATAAACATAGAATTTTATAATATCACAGTTTATACTGAACCTATCGAACCCTTTCACTGTCAACATCATCCCGTCGTCATCTTGTTCCGCGCATGCGTGGTGAGATAAATAGGAAGACATGCAAATACAAGTATGTAATGGATCAAAAAGTTGATTAGCTTGTGGTAGTCATGAAAAATACTGGAAACCTCAAATAAATTCAGATATACTATAATTAATCTCTAAATGTTCCTCAGTACTTCGCTGTTTGGCAGACGCATTAAAATTCCCGTTCGGAAATGATGCAAATCCTGAATTATTACCTAAATTTAATGGTTGGTTCTCTCAAGGCACTCAAACCATTGCTCAGAACATTAAACACCATTCATCATATCTGAAACTTTCATAAATTCGCCGTAGTTTACTTCAGTATCAAATCAGCTTTGGACAATCAGAACGATAAAAGATTCGCCACAGAAAAACGTGTTAAAATAGATCCGGAAAAGTTCAACGTTCCACAATGAGAAGAATCTCAAATGTTCTTGGTTCGGAAATCCACAGATAGGACTGAAATATGGAATAGTTCGAATTAGTTTTTATTTCAAGGATTAGTTGTCTTACAAAAATTAAACAAATCAAGAGTTTTAGGGGAAAAATACATTTATTGAAAACCAGAGGAATGATCTCATTTTATATTATTGTCTTGTGTTTGATATCCACAAAGGTAGTCTGTGTTTTTTGCTAATTCTGAGTTGCGTTTCGTTGGTATCGATTTATATAATTTAATAAATTAAAGAAATATATATTTCCATTTATTTTGCTCGTGAAAACTAATTTATGAGAAAGAGCATTTCTATCTTACTTTTCATGTATTATATTAAGGTAAATTATGTTTCTTTTCAAGAAAAAGCCGTCATGAAAGATTGAATGTAATAATAGGGAATTATCACCAAAATACAACATGAAGCACGTTTAATAGTGATCGTTATGTCACTGAATACTGTATGTCATACAAATAACCTATTTACAAACATTAGGTACTGCGTTCACACATACTATAATCCCATAAGAACAACAAATTCACACAATTAGTATACATTAATCCTTTCATACATTCGTCACTTGCTACAGCTTACTGGCCATATGGTACATAATCTTAGACACAGACGCTAAGCATGAATTCTTTCGTTGCTTACATAATAATAAAATGTTAACAGACGATACATTACAACATTGAAGTATGTGTTTTTTACTATGTACAATGTTTCCATATAAGCAGTCTTTATTTCTATAAGATATCTTTCTCAACGGAAAGCATAATACCTGTAAACGTTTACGCCAGCGCAAACTGGATTACTTTTTAATTTCATTCTGTATATTACGTCGGAAACTTCAAAAGCAAAAGAATTGTATATTTGGTTATTTTATTAATCGAGTGGCAAACTGGTGAGAAGAGGAAGGAATTAACCACAGAATCATATTTCTGTATAGTACAGTTAATTTTACCTTCTTAGATGATTCATATGGACTAGGCATGAAATTGTTGATTCCAGGAAGATGTCGACTGTGGTCTTATGAGTTTTAGCGTGTAGGTGATTTTTAACGTTTCGCAGGAATGTAACGCCTCCATCTTCAAGGCACATCTAATACATTCCATATGGAAGCATAGCTGAAGTATACTGAATAACGATGGAAATAGAGGCAAGGGACGGTTCCGACCGGGTGTATAAAAATGATTTTCCTGGCTTTCCTGATTTACACTTAAAGGATTTATTCTGAAGGAATCCACCATTATGATTTTAAAAGCTCTACTCTGAGGATAGTAATGATAACTTCCTTCGAAACGTTGGTAACCACCTAGAAGACTACATAGTTCCTAAACCAAGAAAATAACAGTCATCGATTGGAGTACAAGTTTGTAGAAATCGTTTATGTGCTATGTTCCTTAGTAAGTCAGTCCATATCTCTTGGATGGTGGTTTTGAAAGCAGGCTACATTCACAAATATGTGCCATAGAGCATGGATTATATTCAAATGACACTCTAGATACAGCGATAATTTTCACACAAACATACTGACTTCCAAGGAACATTGCAAGAATTATTCGCGTATAAACCTACGGTGCTATGAAGTAAAACGTTAGTAACACGTAAGTTTTCTTTCTTTTGTCACAGATGAAGTGTTTACTGAATCTGAAGAAATCAGATGGACTGTATTTATAGCTTTTACAAAATCTGTTCCCAGTTACCGTGACCTTGCATATCTGTGTGAATCGAGATACTACCGTACACGTGCGTGAGTTATGGCGATCGTAGGTGCTTCATATTCACGTTGATAATTTCGTGGTGGAGCGGCATTTATTTACCCGAGTTCAATGAATTATTAAGTGTTGTTTAGTGTTTAGTGATGTAAATTTGAAGTGCTGAATCTCCAGTAAATGTTAAGTTGTTAAGTAATTTATTAACTGTCAGTTATTCAGCTTCAGGGGGAAACGTGACAGACATGTGAAAGTCAACCCAATACAGGTAATTCCATACATCGCTTTAAATGCTATAATTTAAGAATGTTTTCATAAGCCAATGGTAGTGAACGTTCTATACATCATATGCAGTATGGGTAACAAAGCTTGACAGGGTTCTGGCTTTTTTTTCTTTAGAAACAATTCGAAGTCTTTGGGCAGAAGTGGTGCACTAGGGATGTTTCTGTAGGCGTACCATTGGTTTAAATGTTGTTAATAATATATCTCCACACTTATGCCATTACGCTGCAATAAATTAACTTAAGCGAAAATATTAGAAATGTCAAAATTCTTTAGAGCTTCATGCAAGTAAAGCTGGATCCAGTTTTAATTACAAAGATGGAACAGAATTAATGTCAGTTTCTAAAGAAGAAATCTCATTTATCAAATTAGTTGTTCAGTGAGGACAGACAGGTCTCCTCGTAATGCCAAAGAGTGGCTGGATGCTGCACAATACCCATTAACATCTGAAGTTGGACACAAGGTCACCAGATGCTATAAATGAAATTATCATCAATTCACAAATTTGTGACAGCCACGTAATTATTTTTCTTACATAAAACATGATAGCAAAATCAGGGGCTGCCATTTTATCAGTCAACATCATACTCCAGTGTTATTAATTTTGTGGGAGTAACTTCATACTTATTGTGTGTGGACATTTAAATCAAATTAATTAAAGTACTTTTGTTCTCAGAATTGAGTTCTGTTAGTGTGAATATGGCTGTGTTCTGGGTTGTAGCAGTGTGTAGTCTGGTAGTTTACCAATATTTCAGAAGTACTTGCTTCCTCCATCATCAGGGTGACATTGGTAAATTTCTATGAGACTACACAATGCTAGAATCCAGAAGACAGCAATGTTCATACTTGCCACTGTGATAACCTCAAATTCCACTGATTTCTGTTAGTGTGAAAAGAACACAAACATTTATTTAACTTTCCACTGAAATATGAAAGAAACATTGGACTGATTCTTCAGCCTCAGATTCCCTGAAAGTTTTGTCTGTGAGGATATGTGGAACAAATTACAAACTTTAAGAACATAAATTTACTTTTTGCATGTGCACATATATCACCAAAGAGAAGACATCCGACTAGAAGAACATCCAAATTCACTCGAGAAAACAGATATCTCTCGGACATGGACATTGCTGTTTTCTGAGACATTCTGGTAGTCATGACTGCAGAATGGGCTACAACGGTCGGAAGAAAGGCTGCATAAATTGAGATTGCTTATTCTGCCCGACTCTTATGAAAAAAAAGGCAGTTTATATGTTTACTTAATTTGTCAGAGTAATATGAAGAAAAACAATAAAAGTAATGAGTTTTCTTTAAACTCTGTGCAACGACATGCAGGTTGGCTTATGAAATTTGACAATTCATACTGAAATCATTCATGTTATCATCTTGATTGTCAAGATCTGGTTTCTTGTGAATACAATTAAAAGTAGTTAAATTATATGCAACATATTTTAATTGCAAGTTTAGTTTTATCAAAGTATAAAAAATACCAGTAAATATGAGCATAGTCCATACAGTAATATACAGAAAGAATTTCTGTAATTTTAGTGTCACATTGCATTTGCACATTTTTGTGCATGTACGCAGAAACTGTTTGTTCCCGTTACCGGACACTGTTATGTTTATACATTCTGAAGGGAAAGATTCATATTCAAGGGAAGAACATTTCATACACTTGCTGTATTCAGACTTGAAATGAAATCTAATTTATAATTATAATGTGACTGGTATTAAATCAAGACTTTTATGTACAATTAGCCCAATGTTTATCTGTGGTACATGGGTTATATGATGGGTACATTCAAGTATATGTTGCAAGCTACAGCATTTGTTGTTATCACTTTAGTAAACATACATACTTTTCTTCGCTAGTTAGATTTTAAATTACCAACTTTACTGTTGAAAATAGGTTACTACCTACATCACTTATTTCCTGGATTCTATTCCACTTATACTGGTCATCTTCATTCCAATTAAACTCTTTAAAAAGACATTGGTAACTGTACAAACTCCTTTCATCATTCATTACCTCAGCTTCTTGCCCAAAGAATGTATTTATGGCCTTCATTTCTTTCTCAGAACAAACAGAAATTATTTTCCTTAACATCATTAACCAGTTGACATCTACCAAATGCTTCACTCTTTGGAGGTGGCATACACAACCCCTGGTCTATGGGCCGGATTTGGTCAGCCTTTATTTTTTTATATAGGATTTACAAGTCCTTTTATCACTGCACTAGACTGAATATCAGATTTCATGGCATGTATCCATGATAAGAAAATTGATGATCTAGCCTGAGATAACTTAAAGGTTACCTGCTTTAGAGGATTAATTATGTCATCCTTGTGTTGCATCTCAAGCACTGTCCAGGTTTGTGTGCAATTTCCTTTTCTTGTATGATAAAGGGTAGATAGCTTTCAAAGAAACATTACCAGATTGTAATCAATCCCTTCTACAACCTATTCTCCTGCTTTTTAATCAACACTTTTGTGTGATTTTGGCTTTTACATTTAGAACATGAACAAAAAATACAAAAGACACTTGATGAATTCTGAAAGTGATTTAAATGTTAGGAAGTCGATGATGTAAATTTAAATTTGGATAGTGTAAATTTAGGATGCAATTGTTTCTTCTCTCAACCCATTTATGCAAATTTGAATGCCTCTGGAAACAAATGCTTTATTGTTTTTTATGTAGAAATCTTCAGTAAAGAGAAAGGCAACATGAAATTAGCATATAAGTGGGCTTCTTTATAGAACTTGTTGATTATGGTAGGAAAGAAAGGCATTATTAATTGCAGTTAGACAGACCTGTTCTACATCCTTGACTTAGGTGTATGAAGGATCTATTGAATGTAAATAAATTCTATTCTATTCTAGAGAATGATGTTAATCAGTTATTGCTTGTTTCTGCATTCCAGTATTTGGGTGATTCTTTGGAGGGGGTGACAAATTATAATCACTAATAAAACGCTGTTCCAGTATTATACAGTGCCCAGCCCTGTTTCACAAGGTGAAATGTTTTACGTTCCTCACTCAAGCGATGGCTTATTGTCACCAAGTTTCTCATAACAGAACAGAAATTACAAATCTATAACCCTTCTTGAGTTACAAGACAGCAGACTGTATGTAAAGCCAGTAAAAAGAATTTCAATGACTTTTTTTACAAATTTACATAAAATGACGTCAGTGTTACTTATATTCCCGAAGGATTTTTATGTTGTATATATAAAGTTTGTTCTGTTGCAATTGACATTGATTTACATTCTAAAACAATGACTGCAAACAGCTCAATTGCAACAGAACAAACTTTATGTATATGAATATGTATATATTCATATACATAAAGTTTGTTCTGTTGCAATTGAGATGTTTTCAGTCATTGTTTTAGAATGTAAATCAATGTCAGTTCACAGATTAAGAGGTAACTTTTAACCTGAAAGTGTGATCTATCACAAGATCACAGACTGACCTGTAATTTTAACAACAAAGAATAGTATTGGACACACGGAGATTTACATTCATTATATAAATCATATTTTTTAAAAATCTGTAAAATAATCTCTAATATAAATAGAACATTTTCCAATAGCACATTAAAATCTGCAACTTTTAAAAAATGTGATAATTTCTGGGGTATCATCCACTTTGGCAGTGATGTAGCCAGGATTTAGAGACTTACATTGGAGGTCTTATGTTTCTTTATACAAGGGACATTTCAAATGTTACCTGTATGTGATTAATGAAATACTTGATTCAATAACAAATCAATATAAATTTTATTTCAAAACTTACTCCCATCTTCTCTACTCACTGCAGTCACCACCAAGGCCAACACATTTCATCTATGAATGACACTTATAATTAAATGCAGTTCAGTAATCATCTGTGCTCAGTTGGCATATTGATGCTGTAAGCCTTGTTGATGGCATCTTCAGGTTCAAAATGGCATCCCCAAAGTGGCTATTTTACTCAAGATAAAAAGTTTTGATATGGGGACGTATTCAGGACCTGCAGTTTACTTTGCACATTAGAATGTTGAAAGGTGGCATATTCCTGAAGCAGCATTATGCCACCTTCCAGCACATTCCATTGTTTCCGATACAAGGCAGATCTCAATTTGTCATCTAATAACTGTTGCATAATATGCATCAGTCATGGTGATTTAGGTGGCATGGGATAGTTGGCCTCTGGTGGGAGAGAAACATGGCGTACTCTACTTTCATAAAGCCCTGACAGTCATGCAGTCTTATTCCAAATTGAGATGGCATCTTCCCCAATAAAACATGAAATCTGATTGGTTCTCAAACCTGGTTATTTGAAACTCATTACATGATCATATTGCGATACAGGTAACTTTCAAAATGACCCTCATGTAGTTTTACATCTGATGGATTTAGTATTAGACATATGGAGGCTATGTGTCCGGTGAAAATATAATCTTAGGCCGTCATCTAATTGAAAATTATGTTGTTATCCATTACACTGTCATGTCATTATTATTATTCTTCTTCTATGGCTCTCTGGTCTGTATTCAGTCCATGGCCTCCTCAATTCTCCTCTTCCATTCGGTCCTCTGTTAGGTCCATCTGTCCGAGGCTTTGATCGAGGTTTCAAAACATCTTCCTTTTTACGGTGCAAGGTTGTTAGCCTTGGAGGATCAGGGTACCTGTCTTAGACTGACCTCTCCCCCTTGACCAATCTGGCTAGCGAGGCCCTACCGCCAGCAAAGCATCTTTATTATTACCAAGTTAAAATCTCTGCAGCAAATTTAGTATCCGTAGCTTCCAGTGACTTCAGATTTCTCTTCTAATTGCTGATTATTTGTGGATTAAGTACAATGTGGTGTGGCCGGCTGTTATATGGACCCAATCCCATGTTTTGTATGGCGGTTCCCTTTCCAAAGATGCAATTTCATGTAGCATATTAGAGCTGCCTGTGTTCTAGGAATATGATTTCTGCACAGAGAGTACAGAAGCACTTCCTGGTGAATACTGTCTTTATTTCTTGGACACCCGATATTACTGAGTCAGTTTATTTGTATAGAAATACAATTGTATTAGGTATCTTACCATCCATTTTTCATAAAAAAGAGGGAGGGGGGAGACGGAGAGAAAAAGTCTTCAAGAAGTCAGGCAGATGCTATTTATCCTAATATGAAGCTAATCTAGGTCATTGGTCCAAATATAAGGAAGGACTGTTTATATTACGCTTTCTTCCTAAAGAGTTGTTTGAATAAAATTATTTGTTTGTGTAATCTACTTGAATTAATGAACAAATTTGCTGCTTGAATTACTGCAGAGGGGGCCAGCAGTTTAACACGGGCTCTAAACCATAGGGAAGTCCTGGTATTTTCCACATTCTCAAATTCATCAAGAATTCAACTTCAATATCCTTAAGTGATAGTTTACTTATCCTCTTTCCTGAAGGCAGTGCTTCCTAAATATGGAATGAGATTTGATTGAGTGTCTGGTATGAGATAAAAGTTGTTTTACTGTCAGTAGCACACAGAGTTATATAACTGAAATCAGTTGATTTGAAGCAATTCAAGTTGGACCTCACTGCTACATAACACCAGTGCAAGTTACTGCACAAAAATACAACTTTTTCCCTATCCACATACAAAAATGATCAAGTTTCAGTGTTGAAATTGCACACAGGATTACATACATTCAGAATTAAAGTTCAGACAGTGGTTCCTATA